TTTTCTCTCTCTCTCTAATTAGTCAGATAAGAAAAGCATAGTTTTTCGATAATGATAGCATATCCCATATGGCACCAAGCGCATGATATCACCCTCCACGAACGTCTATTTCTCGCATACTGATACAGCAAAATTCAGGCTCCAAAACTGCTGAAATCTTCGTATCTCTATACTGAGATGGATTGGAAAGTTACATTTCTAAGTGAATATTCCTTGATTATGAATGACTGCAGGAGCATAAAGTATCTGTGTACATTTATATTTCACCAAAAGAACACTTCATTGCTTCCATGTGGATATGAGCATCAGCGTAAAAGTTACTCAGTAAAGCCAAAACAAGCACAAATCGTATCAGCAGAGCACTAAACACTTGCAGGAAACTGTAGAAACGCATGATCGCACCGGCTAACTTAGTGCTTTTCAGTCTGGGTTTTATTTTTAATGAAGACTTGGTGGTTTGCCGGACCAGTACTAGTTAAAAATTGCTATCTGACCCAGGTAACAAATGCTTGTGCCTTGCGACGACGTTAAAAACTTTTTCTTTCCCATTCTGTCTATCACGAAAATAGGACAAGCGTTAAATAGAGCTCATTTGTATGTATGACTAATGGGATTAATTTACAAAACGCCAGTTGAAAAGTAGGCAGTCGCCTTGTTGATTTTGCTGCCTTCCTTATCTCCTTGGAGAATCAGTCCTGAAGGTCCGCCAGTTGCAGCTACTCCGATCATGCAAATGCAAAATAGTAACAGAAACTTCTTTAGATGATGATTAAAGATCGATGGATGCTCGCTAACTCTTTTCCGCTCGAACAGTTTTGTTCCTAGGTAAAATCAGTTTGTCACCCAGGACCAATGAGCAACTTGGATGGATTAGAGGATTCCGCTGCAGCTGTATTAGACATCTTTTTCTTCCTCGTTTTTCGTACTCTTATACCTCCTTTCGTCCTATATTCTTCGACCTTCATCAAATAGCGGGTGTTAGCAGGTTGAGTGTATGAGAGTAACTGGTGCCATTGGGACTTGGCATCAGAAGGCATTGCAGGTGGAAGGACAACGCGAAAAGAAGAAATTTTGGTAATTTTTGAAAATGGACAAAACCCCACATGCAGTGATTGATAGCTGATAAATATTCACAAATTGTTATCAACGAATGAAGTTATTCAAATAATTAATAAAACAAGTTTCGAATAGTAACTAAAACAGTTAATGAGGAAAATTTTTGTAGCTTTTGGGAAATAAATTAGCTGTTAAATACCAAAATTCTTGAGGACTTTGGAATGGTGGTGGGTGAAAACACTGGTGCCCTAGCTGCATGCTTGCTAACGAACTG